GGGAGGCAAAAACGCAAAAGACGCGTAAGAAGGAGACAAGCCGGATATTTAGACAGCACCGAGACATGCAGATCGAGCCAATTGTTCGTTGAGGAGGGGGGAGGGGCAGAGGGCAGGACCGAGGTAAACAAGCGTATGTTTGTGTGTACGTACAAAATGATACATGCGCGAAAAAATAGATTCACAACAAAGACGTGGAGATGCTGTTGATTAGCCGGGTTAGCAGCCGGAGGTACTTACACCGGGAGTGAGATCCGAAAGCTGAAAATAAACACACAAAGATTACTGCAGTAAGAAGTAGGGCTGCCGAGCAACAGTTAGATCAACTCAGCGGACAAAATTCCCGGTACTCGAGCGAATTGTAATCTAAACACAGCAGACAACGCCTCTGTATTTTTAAGAAATGTACCCTAGGCTAAACAGTACGACGTTTATGTGCAAACCAAGATAGGAACAGTGCGCGCGCTTCGCAGCGGTTTTAAGCGCAGCATAGACACAGACCACGTGAAACGCATCTAGAGAAACCAAGTGAATACACAAGCCTGAGTAGATAGCACGGCTACGCAGTTCTACTACTATGAAGTAACCAAACAGGCCAACTGACTAACCTGAACCTGCACGGTTTGCAGACGATTGCCAACGGCGTCCTGACCAGCCGAGGAGTTAGCCAGGCTAAGGCCCGAAGTTTGCGCATTCACAACTTGCAGGACTTGAAGACCGCCGTTCGGTCCAGCAACGATAGTGCCCGGAGTGGCAGCGACCGCGTCAGTACTGGCGGCCTACGACGATGATGTAGTGAGGGAGAAAAGGCAAATGAAGTAAAATGCTAGGATGAAGGGCAGTCTTACTCTCACGGTGATCATAGTTTAGATCGTCATATTCCCATCTGTCATGCTTGATGCAATAATAGGATAAATGTCAGCTATTGATACGATTATGGGAATATATTACTAATCCACTGGTCTAAGTAAGTATGATTACTGGAACTAGCACTCTTAGCAGTGGCATATTACCTCTAGCAACAGTATACTAGCCGAAACTTAGTAAAATGTGACACAGCTTTTGGTGGACAGAGGTGAGAGGGCGGAAACCTAGGAAAGTCCTAATGCGCTTCGGGCCGCAAATGTGTATTTACTCGGAATAGCATAAACCTAGGTTCACACTCTGCTAGCTTCGAGCGCATATGAGTAGACGTTCTGTAAAGTCCAAGCTACAGATCGATACTGCAGCAGGCCCATATTTAGTCTATAGACGGTGAACTTTACGACATAAAGGCAGGGTAGGACTTGTGCTATTATTTAATAACGCTTTATGTGAACCAAAAGCTAATCACTTTACCTCACATTGATTGGGCGTGCATACTGGGGGCCGACTTCTTAAAAAGCACACACAGGGCGTATTAAATCATACTATTTACTGCCTTAGTAAGCATGATTACTAGAATTAGCACGTAGCATAGGCATAGCAGCAGTGTCGTAGTCCGAATCGAGTAGAAACGGACAGTCTGATGGATAGAGTTGAGAGGGTGGAAACCAAGGCAAGCTCTGCTGTGCTCA